GAGGTGACAGGTTGTAGCAAAATGAGTGTAGTTAGTAATGCATGGAATTGTTTTGTTGAGGCTTAGTCGGCATTCAGTCAAAATCAAAACATCAGGTTTAAATTTTAAATAGGATAGTGTTAAATTTAGGTCATCTATGTTACTATACACACTTCTTATATTTTGAGATATTATGGTTAAATCATTATTTTTCACAGTAATGTAATTTGAGAGGTCTTCAATGTCGCACTCAATAGCGTTTGCAATTTCAATTTTATCCAATTCTTTCCAGGTAATTAAAGAACTGTCCATTTCAAAAGTAGGCGTATTAGCTGTCGTCTATATGTGTATACATATGTGTAAATACCTAATATATGCATTATAATGTATATATTTATAGATAAAAAGATATGTTTGCATCCTAATATGTAAATTGCTTTTCTCGTATACGGTTCTAGATTATTAGAATTTTTCATTTTAAGAGTGAGCTGTATATTAATGATAGTATTATATATGATCAGTTTTTGTGATAGTGAAAGTGATAGGGTTTTAATAAATGCAAGTGTAGGCTGTGTGTAAGAATGTATAAGTTGTGTGTAATACATATAAGAACTGATGATTTGTGAATTAATTACAATGCTTAGAAATATCTTACGAACTAAAAGAGATATAGAAAAAAATAAACTAATTTCATTATTTAGAAAAAATTGCGCGTTCTGTTCTAGTCATGCGGTATGCAATAACTGGTGAACCTGGGCTTCGTTCTTTATGGTTATTATTTGAGATGTCTCATCTTTGCGAACATAAACTTTTCCGTAGGCAGTCCAACAAAATTTGTATTTTTTTGTTTTTACAAGATCTCGAGCTAGGAAGTGTAATCGTGTACTTTTAGCAGTTAGATGATCGCTTATGTATATGGGAGTATCTTCAGCCGTACGAAAGCCAAGGTGTTTTGCACAAAGTTTAGTTTTGTGCCTGTTATTAAAAGATTTTGCCATTTTTAATATGTTACTTTTTAGCAATGTTGACGAAGTCTCTACCACAATGGGAGTATTGCGGATATTTTCTCTTTTACTACGAATACGATATATATCTTTTATATCTGCTTTGTTAAGATTACTCTCAATACTTTTGGATAAGCACATTACCATGTCTATTAAGTCCTCTTTAGATTCATTAACTTTTTTAGGAACGTTTTTTATTTCAAAATTCATCTTACGGCTTCCCATTTGCATATCCTCAATTCTATCCTCCAGTATCGTTATATATTTCCTGTCTTCTTTTATTTGGTTTTCCAAATATTCAATTTTCTTCCTAAACTCCTCATTTTGTGCAGTAAGAAAAGTAATAGAGCTCTCGATGTTTTGGTTTGTTTGTTGTATATTCTTTAATGTAGGTGTAATTTTTTTTAAGTTCTTGTTCTTGCGGGATAAGTAGAGTAGCTATCATTTTCTTAATTTCATCCTTGAAGTTATTCAATTCTATTGAAATGTCATCATCCCTACGGCGTTTGCTACGCATCGACACAAATTTAGGTGGCGTGTTCTCTCTTTTGTCCCGCTTGGCATAAATCAGCTTCAGAGAAGGATTTATCCATATTTGAGTTTGGTAAAAGACTATAAATCTTGTCTAGTATAAGTAAATCACGAAAGTAAAAATCACTTAACGTAATGTGTGCGGGCGCCCTTATTTTTGTCGACGATTGTCTTATTAAATCAAATCGCAGTCACAATACGCAAAACGAAATATGTTTCCAGTGAGACGAGTTTAAACTCACACCGATAGGCGAAACACAAAACAAAGGTACCTTTAGTCGGATAATATGATGTGCAATAGTTACCAATCAGGTAGAAGAAGGAGGAGCTATTTAATTGGCATACGCACAATAATGAATGAATTAAGTAATACTGTCTCCTTCTGATCTGTTTAGGTACTAGGACTATCGACGTTACTTTGCACATTCATTGAATTACACTGGTACTCTTCACTATTGTTTTCGTTGTAAATTCGTAAAACAAATAATACTCACGGAAACGGGGTACCAGGGCCGCAGAAGCGTTGAATTATTAGACGTTTTGTTGTACAAGCAAATACGATGTTGCTAACACTCACAGAAACAGGGGTACCAGGGTAGCAGAAGTGTTAAGTTCTTCGACGTTTTTGTCTCGTAAAATTATAATCTCCTATTATTTCAAACTGATTTACTTGGTAGATTTAACTTTGCTATTTTTTTTTAATTAAATTAACACTGACTTAAGTCACGTCTACACCTTGTGGCGGTCCGGAGGGAAGAGCAATTCGACTAACGTTTTGCAAGGCGATATCGGATTATCGAATTTGTCGGGCTATATGTACTGTCACAGCCCCCTGGTAATCCAGAACTTTTTGAAAAAGAGTACCTTGTAATACAACATATTACATATCAAATATAAAATAATAAAAATAAAAATGTCATGTAATGCACAATGAACATACCTGAACAGTAGGTAAATAATGAATGCCCGCTAGGCCGCTACCATAGTCAAATTTGAACATAGACAATACGCGTGAAGCTAGATTCGTGGTGGCGCGAACTAATACCAACCTGTTTGTCCATTATCCGCGAAGGACACCTTCCCTCATGGAGGATTCATAACGCGACTCGACTCTAACTACAAGTTAGAGACATTTCGGATTAAAAAGGGGACGGATTAACCAGGGGCCGGATTACCTAACATTTAAATTTAATTTTTCTGCGTGTTTTATACAAGGTCTCCTTGATTCTTAAGGTCTATTAAGCGTATTAGATAATGCTCTATTTAAACTTTTTGTATTTGTTTTTGTCCCACAAAAGTTATGTTTGTGTTTAAAAACTATTATTCGACTTATCCATTACTATTTACTACCATAGCATTTCTTTTATCTGCGTGGTTGATTGTGAGTTTTGGTCATTTGCGTGAACTGTTTAACGCTTTGAACTCGTCTTTGTAAAGATTTAGATCATAATTTATTTTTTCAAAAAACATCTTCAAGTTTTTCGGATAAAATATAAATTCGCAAAGTTTCATCACAATATCTCAAGCAACTTCGAAAATTATGTCGGAAATTTTTTCGCCAAATTTATATGATATCACTCCTACAGTACAACCTACTTAATAAAAAAGAACCATCATCGAAATTCATCATCATACATACAAAAATAATAAAAAAGAAAACATACCCGTACAGGTGAATTCATTTTTTAAATCAACTAAAAGTTATTTAGGATACGCGTCCACAGACTTCGTCAACAGTAACTATGTACTACGTTTGGATTTTCGTAGCGTGTGGACGAACGAAAACTTTGTTGTGTTTAGTTATTTGTTGGCAACGACGAGGAAAGAAAAAAAGGAAAAATGGATAGGGAACATATGCGAGAAGAGATTGCAACACGGAGAATATCATTCCTTATATTCCGATCAGCTACCTGAACGATGAAGTGAAATTCTTTCAATATTTCGTATGTTTCATATCAAATTTACCACTCCTCTTTACATCTTGAAACCACATTTACCGAAAGGCAAATGCCGGCCGACTGCGTTACGTTAACCGATTGAAAATCCGTATGACGTCATCATATGCATCGAAATAGTTGACACCCCCTGAAAAATTGTCCCGGCAACACCGAGCGAGCGTGTGGACTGTCCACTGCGGATCAGTGGACGTACTTGTAAGACTACAAAGAATTGAATACCTACAAGTAGTTCTAATATCCATTTGATGAGGTTCTGTCTGATAAGTACAACAGGAGCCTCCGGGCGCATAGGCTCCATAATCCATCGTGTTAATTTTCTTACCTAAATATTTAAAACATGTTTAATTTAAGCTACAAGAATAATAAAGAAGATGCATTAATTTTTTGCCACAAATTTATATATAATTTATACATAATTTATATTTATATATAATTTATATTTATACGTGGTAGAGCCATGCTGCAGTTATATTAGATGTATAGTTGTAGCACGAATGGGTCGGCTCGACCGGGGAAGGACCACGCTCTCACAGAATACCAGCGTGAAATAGTAGCTTAATGCTGCTGTATTTCGTATGGTGAGTGTAGAGAACCGGCGACCCATTTTACTGGAAACGAGGCATTCCATCTTAGTCCTCACGGGTGACAACACATCTGCATTTTGATTCGTAATCGAGGATAGATGTAGATGTCTATGGGTCACAGTAACCACTTACCATCAGGTGGACTGTGTGCTCGATTGTCACCCTATCCTATAAAAAAATTTATATATAAATGAAATAGTAAATCATTTAAAGTGTATTTAAATATTTTTAATTAATAATTCCATTTTAGTAATTATTAATAAAAATAGTTAAATTTTTAAATGAAAAAAAAAACCTACTTGTGATTGGTTGCGACGTCATTATGTCCGTTGAGGCTGTGAGCCAATCGCAATCATGCTATACTTTTGTATTTTCTATATTCGGATCACCATGTGTCATAACAAAACTGTCCTGTATTAATCAGTAATGACAATTTTTTTTAAAATTTGACAACGTTAACATGAGTGGTTTTATCATTTCACCGTGCGGTGGCGTAACTAAAGCGACATAATGACGTCACTGGTGTTTGAATTTACATTTTAGAAAAACCATTTTCAATTGTAAAAGTGCATGAAAAATCAATTGCTAACATTCTTCGTAATAATTTTTAGTATACTTTCAAAAAAATAAAAAACATACAATGCTCTGTTTAATAATTTAAGAATTATCAATAGACATGTGACTTCGCCAACACGCATTGCGACAGCGCGGGAGAGGGATGTGAGGAGGTATAGGCATAGGCCCAGCAGCTATGGGACATATGAAGACTCCTGCTTTAACTAAATTTATTATGAATTTTATACCTGATTAAAATACCATAAGTTATCAAATAATTGAATATATATATTTCTTTTATATTTTAATGGTTTTGAAAAAAAGAATATCAAAAAGAAAATGGTTAAAAAAAGGTTTGCTCTTAATTTTTAACGTGACTGTACAGGCAGATGCTCCCGAGCATAACGGGCGGGTGCCAGTGCCAGTTATCCTCGGGACGCCTTCAAGCGTGTCCGCATCCCGCGCTAATATCCCGTCTGTCGGCATTCAACGTCGCGAGTGTGTGCTTGTTGTTTAACTTTTTACAACGGTGTACACTATGTAAGTATATTTTTAAGTCTATATTTTTTATCATATAGGTAGGATATAGGATTCTATTTCGTTATTTATATATACTTTTTAAGTGTATGAATTATGAAGATAAATATTGTCTACCACTTTATTTACATAGACTTTAGAACTTTAGGAAAATCGTTTGAAATATTAAGACTAAACTTAGACATAAATTCCAATCCAAACTTGCAAAGTAAGTTTTTTTTATTTCCTTCTAACTTAAATAATATTGAATACTGATTAAAATACTTTTTTTCAGAGTTAACAAATAATATCCTTAATTAAATTTGAATTTAAGCAATGTAGAAAACAAATACAGCTTTCGAATAAATTAAACATAAATTAACCAGAGAGTAGACGCTTCGTTTGTTCGCTATAATTTCTTTTACAGATAAGTACCTATAACTTAAAATAAACATAAGTTTACATATGTAGATAGAAGCTACATTGATACGGGAACAAAGCTTGTGTTATAATATATTTAAATTCACAAGAAAATTCAATTGTTTCTCGCGCCAGTTATGGATTTATATCGCCGTAGTTTAAGTTTTAAGAACTTCGATTGTTTTCCGGTTTCCTTGATAATCCCTAATTTTTTTATTTCGTATTACCTCAGATTTACGAATTGATTTTAGTAATATGTAATATAACTTGTAGCATTGCTATAGACCCACATGTAGTACCTTCACAGTCACTATGTGCACATATTATACTCATAAGCAAAATCTCGTCCGTCAGCCTCAGCACACAGTACAATTATTTTTTTACAAAAGTTAAATATATGGTAGAGACTTCAACGAAATCTCAGAAATAGGACTTTATAATCTTTAATTTGATTGCCAACTTAATTAAATATTAAAAGTATTCGTTAGATGCAAGTGCTAATATAGGCCTCCCAGTAGATTGTCTAATTGAGAGTAGGGACAGATATATACCGTAGTTTCCACGTATTGACGTTGGCATAAGAAAGATATTGTTACGTCGATGCTTGGTCTGAATTCGTACATCAGTATTTTGTACGTTATTATTAGTGACAATATAAAATACTGATGCGCAATATTATTCCAGTTAGGATTCTATTAATGTAATAGTGGAGAAGTAGAAGCAAGGAGGCGCCAATGACTTAGATAAATATATTGCAGACATAATATGTTTGACCTGAAGCTTATAATTGTACAAATAACACGCGACGATTGATTATTATTAAATCTTGTATAACGTTAATATAATAAATATGATATCTGTTCATCATAATATATTACTCACCCTGTCTTAAAATAATAATATAAGAGTTTAAAAAAACTTGAACGACAACCATTGATCATGATTCATGAGCTCTGATGATCCTGATAGTTATTTTATTTTATCCTGGTGATCCTGATTAGGATATTGAGATAAAGGTATTACATTATTGCATTGTCATTGATCTTAGATTCGAGTGCAAATTATCAAGTCAATCGGCCCCTACAAGTTAGTAAAAATTACATTAAAATATTCCGCTACATATATAGACAGAAAGATAGATAAAGACACGCGGAGCTAACAAAAAAGTGTTAGTATTTGTGATATGAGTTAGTGCAATGCCGAAGTTCTAATCTACGGAGTAAAATTATACGAACAGCATCCTAAAAGAGCCCAGGATAAAAATTTCCTATTGTTGAAATAATATAAAAATTTACCAAACTGTCCCTTGCAGTTCGTAACTACACGTTTGCTTGCACATACACTATAATACGGACTGTTCATCCAAAAAACAAAAATATATGCGATGATGCGTAGGGTGCAGTTTTAGTTTTAATGTACCACGTGTATGGCAGTATGGCGGTAAAGAAAAAATTGTAAAAATTGCAATTTGCATGACTAAGATATTAAAATAAATAAATTTTGGAAATATATAATGTCCGTCAGTACACATTTGAGTTTCACATCGGGCTTTGCCTTTCCCTAAAACCCTTTCTATAAGAGATGTAAACTATAGGAGGTTAATGCCTTATTGGTTATTGAGTTAAATATAAGATAATTTAATTCAAGTTTGGCCTCTTCTAAGTAGTTTTTAAAAGACAAGAAAGCTACGACAACGTTTTAACAAGTTCCTACTGCGGGAGACCTTGTGAGAAGAACCGGCAAGAAACTCACAAGTAGACTATTTTTGTCCCGACTGTTACAATTATTTAACCTTATAAAATTTATATAAATATAAGATATGTAGGTTGTTACTTTTATAACATTCATATTATTGTGATCTGGCCACTATTAGCATTAATTCACTACAGTAATTGCTATAAAAATGTCCTATGTTCTATTCCATGACGAAATCTCATTCTATGACAAATTTAGAGGAACTGTGTATCTTATTTATGTGTTATCTTTTCCTGGTAGAGTCACGATGCAGCTATATTATGGTTGTAGTACAAATTGGTCGGTTTGATCAAATAAGGATCACGCTTTCACAGAATACCAGCGAAAAGTAGCAGCTCCATGCTGCTGTGTTTCGTATGGTGATTGTAGTGAACTGGAGACCCTTTTTACTGCAAACGAGGCTTTCCATCTTAGCCCTTACGGGTGCCAACGCATCTGCATTTTGATTCTTATTCGAGGATAGATGTCTTATCATCACGTGGACTGTGTGCTCGTTTGTTACTTATACACCATAAAAAAATCAAATTCAATAAGATTTTTAATATAAAAGTAAAATAACAAACAAACTTAGAGTCCACCTGAAAGTAAGTGGCTACTGCAGTACATCACATGCAACCAAAGACAATCAAGGGAGGCTACATCTGCGTTGTCACCTCTGAGGATTAACCCTTTAAGCGCCTTAAAAATCCCATGCAGTCGCATTTGCCCGGCAAATCCCGAGAGGTCGCATGCGACCGCACCCACCCACAGCACTTAAAACCATTAAAACTTATATTTAGAGACTACTTTTCTATGAAGAAGTTTAGCATTATAAAATCTATACAAAATTCTCTATCTTGTGGTCTACATAAAAGTCCGGATTTACTTCATTACAAAAAGATTTTATTGTATTTTGATAACAAACTTACCAAGCGAATGTCGTCAGCGTGAAAATTACTATTATTTCAACATATATGGTGGGTGCGACCTCATGAGACCGCTAGGGATTTAACGGAATATGACCGCGGTCACATTAGACTGCTAGGCGGTTGAGGTAAAAATGAATCCTTCACAGTTTGTAATTGTACTGGCTCCGCAACACCGCAGTAGCGCTACTGTTACCGTTACAGCTTACTAAAGTCCACTGGTGACAATAGTTCTTAACCATAGATTGTCTCACATGTGGGATATTTGGCATAGATTTATACGTGGTAGAGAAACGCTGCAGCTATATGATTGTAGCACGAATGGGTCGGCTCGACAGGGGAAGAACCGCGCTCCATACCACACCCACAAAATACCAGCGTACAATAGCAACTTAGTACTACTGTGTTTCGTAAGGTAAGTGTTGAGATTCGTAAACCTGTTTTACTGGAATCGAGGCATTCTATCTTAGTCCTAAGGGGTGCCAACGCATCTGCATTTTGATTCTTAAGGGGAAATATAATGTCAAATGGCTTAGCAAGATCCTTCGTTATGCCGAAAATATTGCAGCATTAATTTTGAAATAAATATATGGTAAAGTTGAGGATTAATGTTAATGATTATGTTAGACGAAAACACGATTTCGTAAAATTTTCTCGATAGAAATAAGTCCAAAGTTACCTCCAAAATAAACAATAAACCGCTGTTATTCATAAAATACTTTAAATAAAATCATGAAACTTTGCATACTAACTGAACTAACTATATAGCAGTGCTTATGTTATTTACTTTTTTTAAAATACCATTATTTTCACTGTAAAAAGAAATTACCTAAACTATCGGCGTCTTGAGCTTAATTCCAGTCGCGTTAGTATGCTTAGGCTTTTGAAGGGAGAAGTTGTGTCGCTTACGATCAGAATATACATTACGCAACAGTACGACGTAAAATTAAAATGGGAAATAACCGTGATAAAAATAAGAAGCGGCTGGCTTGGCGTTAAGAAACAGGCATAAATATGATAAACCTAATGAAATGAGTGTCTAACGACCTTTCTACTTACAGTATTAGTGATTACAAACATATCGGTACATAGGAGCATACGACGCGCGGGGAAGTGGGGGCGAAATTAGAATTTGAGCTGACTTACTCTATCCCCTTAATCGAGGATAAAAAAACTTACCACGCTTAGCAAGGGAGCTGGCAACCGCAGTTTTTCCATTTTTAGTCGTTATCAGGAAGACGCTGCTGCCCACTTCTTGATTTGTTTCCCTCTGTCACGTCTTACGAAACCCATGGGATGATATGCGGTAATGGATATTCTTTCACCGCCTTTACACGGACCACAGCACTGCACAGGAGTACAAACACTACTATTTCGCGGCAAAATATGTAAAAGAGTCCTGAAGGCTGACAACGCATCTTCATTTTGATTCGCAAACGAGGATAGACGTAGATGTCTATGGACCACAGCAACCACTTACCATCAGGTGGACTGTGTGTTCGCTTGTCAGTCATCCTTTTCTTATAAAAAAAAACCTAGGCGGACTCCTTTGCACAAAAAGAGTCTTACCAGTAGTAAAGGACACTTTGACTTTTTCAAACACGTTACACCCAGACTAGGTTTTTCTCCTGTATCGTGGCAGCAGTTTACAAACATAAATTGAACAAGCACATGCATCCAGCCCCGGAACAATAATTTGTAGGCCATACATATACTTGTTCGAACTCACCGCTCCCAGCGCAGCAACTCATCGCTATGCCACTGCGCCACGAAGCCGTCAATTAAAAAAATTATTATTCAAATACCACTCATCCGCACAGCTCAATGCTAAGTAAAGGAATAGGATCCGATGTATTACTGTATTAGTTCAGTTAACTGCGAAATATATATCATAAATGTAAGGTGTATATAAGATAGAATTAGGGGTGATAAACGAGCACACAG